CTGTCCCTATTATCACACCCGTTAACATGTAGCGAATAGAACAGCTTGGTGTAGGTAGAATTTTTTACATAAATGTCAGTTTTAAACCGGATTACCGATATATATTCTTTTTTTGTCTTTTTTAGAGATAAAATTTTTCTTTTACATGATGTGCAGCAATCGATTACAGGATTAAACAAGAACCGGTTGAACCGGGTGATGCTCTCCGAATAGGTTTTGGACACAGAAAAGTATACCTCTTGTAGTTTCAGATATTATGTCTCGGACAAAGTTCAAAGTGCAATAATTCCAAACTTAGGCAAGACAGAGTTACTGTTCCTTGCACTGCTAATCTACCTAATGAGATCAGATCTATCTACCTATAAAGTTCCTTGTTCATATCTCTTAGTGTCATAGTTATGTTCTGGACACAGTTTAAAGTGTAAATATGAACAAAGGGCAATAACTCCAAACTACGCAAGGCGCAAGAGTTACGATTCTTGTGTACTGTACTTCTACCCAATGAGATCTATTTACCTACAACGTTTTATGATGATATATCTTATAGTTTCAGAGTTATGTCCCGGACAAAGTTCAAAGTATACAAATAAACATAGGGCAGTTATTCCAAAAATAAGGCAAGGTAGAGTTATGGTTCTTTTGCACTGCACTTTTACCCAATGAGATCTATCTACCTACACAGTTTCATATTGATATATCTTATAGTTTCAGGGTTTTGTCCCGGACAATGTTCAAAGCATAAAAATGAACAAATGGCAATAATTCCAAAAATAAGGCAAGGCACAGTTATGGTTCTTTTGCACTGCACCTTTACTCAATGAGATCTATCTAGTTGCCTTGGATTAAATATTTTATCAAAAATACTAAAAGTGAAGAAAACAAAAAAAAACAACATGTATATCTGTTGTTGAAATACTTACTCTAGAAAAAAAGGGATGAGGGATGAAGTGTTAATTTGGGCGGTGAACAGTCTTTTGGGTGAATTGTCTTCAAAATTCGAGGGCTGTTTGGGTGACGTGTCTTGTTCCCGAAAAACCTAGGTGTAAAATGAAATTTAAGTGAAACTAATGATCCCTGCTGTATACGGTTCCTTCTGTAAAAAAGAGAAAAAAACCCAGATTTCAAGTTGTTTTTATATAAATTTTAACCATTTGGAAAATAAATTATCTTCAAATATAATCTTATTTCGTATAATCTTTAAAAAAAAAAAAAGGTGGATAGTTAGTAGGACGGATCTTTATCCTTTAACTACGTACAATTGTTTCCAACATAGGCCAAAACATGGTTAGCTTAAAAAAAGCTAGTAACGGCTCGCTTTGTCATTTCTATTTCATTTGGTGTGTTTATATGTCAAATTGACAACTCTCTCTCAGTTTTACAACAACCTGGATAATTATAAAATTAACAAAGAGGGATATCACCTTCATAATAAGGGGGCAATTGGCCCTAAAGCGGTCACCTGAGAACTAGATATTTAAAGATGTATCCACATAGAACGAATCAAGTCTCTATGTATACGCACTGTTTGATATATCAAGTCCCAGTGACATTGACCTTTTGACCTGAAAATGTATGTGATTGGTAGAACTCATCAAAGTGTCACCGAAAATGAAGTTGTTGAATTGTTACAGGTTAATAATTATTAAAATGAGTGACAAGTGCTATACAAGTCTATATAAATCAAGTACCCCACTGGGTAGGCCAAAAGTATAGGATTCTCTATAAAGTACATCATGTAGACTTCCATATGCATGGTTTGTTTGTATAAAATGCATATATGAAGCGGCATTACCCATTAGTGCTGTGTAGGAGCACATTTGTCTCGGAGCACATTTGTCTTACGAGGTGTGACCGATGTGTTCGTAAACATTCATATTTGCGACAAATTGGAAATGAGACAGATGTGTTCGGCACACAATAGAAAGGACACTCGAAGCACATTTGTCTCACATTTTTTCCATGAAATTCGTAAAGGGTAATAATTATGTCCATCTGTATACCGGCTACCAGCCATTGATCTGTGTTTTCTGTATCTATAATACCGGTTTTAGGTCACTTCCGGTCAGTCAAAAACTTCCTGCCTCTGCATAGGAGTCATATATTAACTTAAAGAATATCCCTGTCCTGCATGTCACAATGAAAATTTCTACAAGTGCAGCATCCAGAACCTAAACACATATGCAGCAAGTCTATTTTTATTGTTATCAATTGTGATACGTTTATTTTCAATGCTTAAAGTTTTATAGATGATTTATGGCACTTTAAATATTCTTAGCAAAAACAAGGAAGTATCTACGGTGGCATAAAGGGGACATAAAATTTTCTTATTTATTACGTGCGCACACGATAGCTTTTCCTTGGCCACGCGATACTATTACGTGCGCACGCGATAGCTATTACGTGCGCACATGCATATGTATTGCGCATTTGGACCTTGACCGGGATCCTCGCATAAATAGTTCGACTTCCCCGTGTATGTGTCAAACCTTCAGCGGTTAGGGACAAGTGGTTTTTTGAAATTACTCGGCCACGGAGGCCCTTAAATGATCTATGAAGAAAATAAGAAGACCATTACACACGTATTTCGTTTTCATCAGAAATATATGTATAAAAATCGTCATTTTCCAAGAATTTCGGCTTTCAGATTCGCCATTGAAAAGGCACTTACAACATGCATGAGTTCCTAAAATAATCCGGGTAATGTCATAATTATGGAATATCGGGCCACTCAGAATCGAGCGAGACGCGACATTCCGATGAGACACGAAGCGAACCACGATATTGTAATAGGAGATCTCGCAATGTCGAAGTATCCCGTACCAACTTTTTGGAGCTATAAAAGTATACCAAAAATAAATAGCTTTTGAGGAATAAAGATAAAAGCATTTCTCAGACATAGTTGGCCTTGAAGTGATTTTATGTAGACTGTAAAGGGAATACTTCTTAGCGGTATATGACCTGGATTCAATTTCTTGTCTCGCGTCGACGAACGGGATGCGAAGCGAAACGCGAGATTTCGCGAGACGCGAGATTTCGGCGAGATGCGAAACAAGTCACGATATTGTATCATTCAATATCAACCGATTACGGTGTTCCGTTTGGACATAAGTAAAATTTTTGTCAACCTGAACAGCTATGCACAATGGTACAAAGGTGAAATTACGATGATGCGATGACACGATAGAGAAAATAATATCGCGTTTTCATCATCATGCCATCGCAGTTTCATCATATCGTACCATCGTATTTTCACCCTCGTAACATCGTCTTTCACCATAGTACCATCACGTGTTCATCATCGAGCCTTCGTTGTTTCACCATCGTACAATTGTTGTTTCACCATCGTACAATCGTTGTTTCAAGTTCGTACCATTGTGTTTTCACCATCGCACCATCGCGTTTTCATTAAGGTACCATCGTTCCATCGCGCTGTCACCATTGTACCATCGTGAACGGGCTTTACTATGTTTCAGTGTACGGTTTCAGATTAAGCCAATCAATTTCTTGAATTAGAAATATTATAACTAATATTTTACTGTAGGTTTTCATAAAAAACATTAGCAAACCTATTAATGATTACACTTGAGGTAAAACGGCGAGCCTCGATTCTAAAAAAGAATTTCTGCCTTGGGGTAATATGTGACAAATAATTCATAAAAATGACATAAGACAAATGTGCTTTCTTGTCCCTTAAAAACACATGAGACAAATGTGCTTTCTTGTCCCTTAAAAAACTTGATCGGAGCACATTTGTCACACAAATGAGTTTTTTGGGGTAGACATTTGAGGTCCCATTTGTCTCACGTGGGACAAATGCGACCGCATCGGTCTTACGTAAGACAAATGTGCTCCGAGACAAATGTGCTCCTACAGTGCTGTCTTCACTTGCAGACTGCCGCAAACAACATTTTTTACAACACTGTAGATTGTTTGAGGTGAAATCCTCTTTGTAGTAATTTTGCAAAGAAAATTGGTTGGCTACCCCTATAGAACAAGATCATTTTTATGTGTCAACCATTTCATTCATAGAAGGAAAAAATCCTCTTTAGCATGATAACTCAATTTTAAGGTAGGATTATGGGCTATATCTCATAACGTAAGTCTATTTGAAAATCAATACGAGAGTCCCTCCTTCTTCACGAAAAAATCGGGAGACTCAATTCACTCAATACCGGAAAGGATAAAATGATCCGAAATTTAATATAAAAAGGGGACAAAAATGCGCATGATCAGATGAACACTTATGTTAATTAACCAAACGAAAACTTACTAAAGAGTAGACAGGTGAAATAAGGTAAATTAAACGTCAGCGTAAATATGATTAATTAAAAAGAAATCGTGAAATCATTTCTTTTTTTATTTTTACATGTCAGATCATATCTTCGCGCTAAATTAAAGCAATCCTTGCTGCTTTTTAAAAAAGACGTCAAAATTGAACGTTTTTAGCCGCTATGTAAGATTAAATTTGATTGGCCAAATAATTTTTTGAATCCTGCTCAGACAGGTTAATCATGTGAAAAGCTGGAAGCAAAACCTCGGTTTAAATTAGGATAGATTTGGAGTTTTAGGTTGTTTTCAACTGCTTTCTCAGTAAAAGCCTAACGTAATACCGCGAGCTGGCATAGACCGCCCTCTCATATATTTGTTATTATCATGCCTATACTTATTTTACATTTTTTGGTTTTTGAAAATAAAATTCGAAAACCTCTTGAAAAAATATGAAAATACCCGAGATTTTCTGTATCCTCTTCAACCACCGGCAGCAAAATTTGTTTACATATATCGATTAACCTATGAAATAACGGGATTCGTTGAAGGTTTCCTGTCGTAATTTTTAGAAGTACGCAGGGGACCAGCAACTTTTAGCGGTAAATGCGACATTAAGAGGCGATGCGACATAAGAATAACGGCGCCACATTACTTGTAATTATTGTAATATTTATCTAAGAGTTGATACCAACTCAATGTGATACAAGTTTTTTTCTTCTATATATTTTAAGGTCCTCAATTGTGCTACGAATGTCGTAAGAATAGAATTAGACAAGTAAATAGAGAACGATCCGACATGTTCTTCCCGACGCTAGAGCCGTCTGAGGAAAATGTAACAACGGCTGCAATTGTGCGCAAATATTTACCAGGGCTTTCGGAGCAGGAGGTCGAAGACAAGCTTGCACGAGGAGAAATTGCAAGACCATCTTACAAAAAACATAACAAGCATATTGAATTTTCAGACGAAGAGGAAGAAATCAAACTGAAACATACATATAAAAGAGTAACCATCGCTGGCACTGGAAATGGCAAAAATATTAAATCAGGTATGCAACCGAAACCTAGCGAACTATTTTTTACCAATATTAGAGATCTTAATTATAAGATTATAGCTGGAAGTGTGGACAGAAACGTTGGCTTTGCGAATGCTGCACGCACACTGGTTAAGAAAGAGCAAAAAACTTTAACAGCGAAAAACCATTTTCCAACATTTGTAAGTCCGCGTAAAGTTACTATGATACAAAAGACACAATATCAAACTTATTTTGAACCGCCTCTTATCGAAAAATCAAAACAAGATGTGGAACCAGCGTTTTTCGCAGGGTCAGAAGGCGAATATATATTACCAGAAAAACTCCCTGATGAGCTTGTGTTTATAGATAAGGACGGGAATGAAGTCAAAGCTAGTAGTTCACAAGGTTTTACTGCTAAGTTATCTGCATCTTCTGAGAAGAAAGATTCCGTTTCTTATAAACCAGTTGCAAATAAATTAGAACATGCAAAATCTGCGGACATGGATGTACTTAAAGAAGACGAGGAAGAGGATAATGAAGAAGAAGCGGACAGCGAAATTCATGACATTTTAAGTACGGGATCAAGTGAGAATAATTCTCATTTAGCTGATATCAACGAATATGCGAGTAAAGAAAGAGATAGCAAAAAATGCACCACACAAACTACGGATGAAAAGAATTAATGCATAAAATAATAAGAATTGAATTGAATTGCATAGACTTTGTGCTAGTGCAACTTATTTCGGAAAATATTTCATTGCAAATAGAATTAATTAAAATCGTAACATGCTTTGAAGAAAGAGATCAAACAATTTTATTTAGAAAAAAGAAATAACAACATTGAATCTGTTGTAAATAGGCATAATCAGTTTGCAGAAAAACTATGCAAAAACGATTATGCCACTTTTGGAGGGATTTCAAAATCGCATATCTAAATTTATTTCTTCTAAATTATCTTCTAAATTAATTTCACCTGTGAAGAAAGGGAACACATTGTAATGATTATATAGCGACTTTTCAACTTAACAAATGATGGAAGACCTCAGTTGCTCCTCCGTGCATAAATCTCCATGCACAAGCAGGCACCTGATAAGTACCATCGACGTTCCTTGAGCGAGCACGGGATTCGGTTCGAACTCACAGCGGTGAGGGACAAATGGGTTTAAGTCGTGACCTAAACGAGTTGGCCGTATATAGGTAGAGCAAAATACATTACTGTATATATAAACTGAAATATTGATATTACTTTAAGAGCTGTTTTGTGGGGTTTTTTTCAAAACGACTGTATTGTGCTTTCCATAACTTTTCATGAGCAGAAACAATCCAACCGAGCCTTTCTTCCCACAAATTTGTTTTAACTGTCTTCGAGAGATCTCTCATTTTTGAATTTGAAAAAGATAACCTTTGTACAGATTTATTTGCAGTTTTTAATCAGCGTTGACTGTGGTGTACTATTCAAAGGGGGTGTTATTTGGTGACAATACGCTTTTCATAAGGCGGAGAAAAAACAATGAAATAAAAAAGAGGTGAAAAGACCATAATCAATATGGTTCGTCTCGCAGAATTTAATCATAAGTTTTAATCATAAGAAATTGACATTTAATTAATTTAAATGTATTAAACGAAGCAATGTCAATGTAATTGACAGTCTGATTTTCTTTAGACCGGGTGGTCAAGTATAGCCTACGAAAGTGCAAGCACTTTTTTCCAGTAGGGTCCTCACCCCAGCAGACTTTAGAGGCAGCTATGAGAAACTGGAACCCGGGAACCAGTCCCTATCTCTTATTGAATAGATCCCTTGGTTCTTTTACATGCCCAGTGTAAAGCACACTGCACTGCTACATGCGAGGATTACCTGGGTTTCGTACCAGTATTCCTCTAGGTAGTAGGGAAACACAGATAGTGTTTCTGAAAAATCCCAAGAGATCGAACCCGGAACCTCAGGAGTGACAGTCAGTGGTCTAACCAATTGAGCTATCGCGCCACCTATGTATCTGCATCTTATTCGAGTGCGGACTGTTTTATAGCAGAAGCCAATGCTGTTAGTACTTTCCTGACTTTGTTTGTATTTTAAGTCACACCGACCCAGTTAAGGCGACTTTAAAGCTTTACTGGTTTTGTTTGTTTGTTTTGGGTTTTACGTCACATCGACACAGTATAGGTCATATCGCGGCGTTCCAGCTTTACTGGTGGAGGAACACCTCAGGTGCCCTTCCGTGCATTATTTAAGGCACAAACGGGCACCTGAGTAGAACCACCGACGTTCCGTAAACTAGCTGGATAGCTTCCTCACATGAAAGAATCCAAAGTCCCTGTCGGATTTTGAACCCACAGCGGTGAGGGGCAAGTGGTTTGAAGTCAACGACCTTAACCACTCGGCCACGGACGCCTAAGCTTTTCTGGTGGAGGAAGACCTAATCATACATTATTCGATGCACGGGCGATTATTTGCCATTTTTCATAGATGTACAATCATAGAAGAAAAGCATTTCAATCTCATATATGGAGATCTCTAATCGGCTCTGAATCATTACCCGCCTTATACGCATGACGTCTTAACTATCTCTCTTCAAAACAATCCGCAAGAATGTATGGGAAGTAAGCAGTAGCAGCTGTAGGAAACGTGAAGTTAGCAGTAGCACAGCAGTAGCAAAATTATAAAACGTTAAATTGACAGTAGCAGTAGCACAGCTGTAGCAGTAGCAAAATTATGAAACGTGAAATTGGCAGTTGCAGTGGCACAGCAGTATCAGTAGCAAAATTATAAAACATTAAACTGGCAGTTGCAGTAGCAGTGGAACAGCAGTAGCAGTAGCAAAAGTTATAAAATGCGAAGTTGGCAGTAGCAATGGCACAACAGTAGCAGTAGCAAAATTATAAAACGTGAAGTTGGCAATAGCAGTGGCACAGCAGAAGGAGTAGCAAAATTATAAAACGCGAAGTTAGCAGTAGCACAGCACAAGAAGTAGCAAAAACGTGAAGTTGGCAGTAGCAGTGGCACAGCTGTAGCAGTAGCAAAATCATAACTGCCACAGCTTCTGCTAGCTTTCGATATAGGCCTTATTTTAGATCATCAAAGATTTTAACTTAAGAATAAACGTATCTGTCAAAGAATTACGCCATCTAAAATTCTGTAAATTATGATAAGAATTACATGTGTATATTCATTTTTTGACTGCTTATTATATTTCGCGTTTACTCAAAAATAAATGAAATAGCAAAATGATCTCACACATCCCTTTTTAAAACCTTGAAATCTTTAATATATGAAAACAGCCCTGTAGATGCAAGCATGTAATCTACAACACTTGCACATCTTTAGAAAAACATGTAAATTCTCCATTGCTTTCACCAGAAAAAGACAATTTAAAATGTGTACATCAAATATACAACACATATTTACTTATGATTTTCCGAAATTATTACTTCGATACATATCCTTATTTTTCCGAATAATATTATAAGAATCTTACACTGGCTGCCGGTACAGACCGGAATATCTAGCTCGAGGGTAACTGTTTACGGCGGTAACGAGGCTCTGCCGAGTTTCCGCTGAACAGTTACCCGAGAGCTAGATATTCCCGTCTGCACTGTCAGCCGGTGTTTAATTCTTTTTCTTGAATATTACATATAAATTATTTTCAGAACAGAAATTACAAAAACCGATTTTCTCATAACGCACTTTTTTTCTTATTGTAGCGTATGAACTTACAACTTCATTCATAACGGTTAAGTGACGTCATCCTAAGAACGCAATTCATTCATAAAAGGCTCGCGTCAATGACGTCATTTAAAACACGCGACTTGTCTTACATGGGGGGTGTAAGATAGAGTTTTCTAGCACCGGTGTAAACGGTAGATAATCCTGTCTGATATGCAAGAATAAAATTGCTACAATCATATTCAATATTATGAAAAATATCATCTCTTTTATCACTTGGTATGTAAACCAAAAAATCTGTACGTCTAGAATTCATGTCTCCTGCATTATATAACATTGATTGCGGATAATCGTAGTGTTCGAGCTTCTGTGTTATTATGCAAATTATAGCTTTGGCTATTATAATATATGTAATTTTTCTCAGGCTACTAGTACTTTGCCTTATGATTGGTAATAATGATTGAAATAACAGTAAAATTAATGGGAATTAATAAAGATACGATATTTTCAAAAAATAGCTCAAACAGTTTACTTTATCAAGACAATGCTTTCTATTTATAACACAAACAATGTGAAATACTATACACTCCTATGGTTAGCTTTTTATCAATGTTTCTTATTAGATTTAATGATCAACCTTTAAGACATAAGAATTCCACTAACATTCTATATGTTTAAACGTCTCACTAATCTCACTAGAGACCCGTACAACTTAAATATAACTAAGATTAAACCCTGAACACAAAGCGCAATGCTTTAATGTTAAGATATCAGAATGCAATGCTCTAAATATCTGGGCCAATCTTATTATGTTGTATTTACGCACAAAGTCCCAAGTATTATATTAATTAGCTGATAATTAATACTTATATAATTTGTCTGACCTTCCTAGACGATGTCTCAGCTGCAACGCCTCAAGTGTGTGTGTATATTTGCGTTAATATATACTCGCCACCGGTAACCCATATGGGCGAGTCCTCAAGAAGAGTATTAGCCATTCTTTTTTTTTTTTGGAGGATAGTGCAATTACAGATACAGAAAGATGCCACAATTCCAGAAGTTTCTCCTGGTTCTTTAGCGTGCCAAGTCTTTAAGCACCCATACACGGGACATCGAATTAGTAATTTTAGTTGGCCAGCCCGGGAATCGGACCCACAATGTCAAGGTTACAAGTCTCGCGCTCTAACCGATTAAGCTATTCGGGTTGTTGTTGTTGTATTAGGTTTATTTTAGCTCGGCGCCGGAAATTCCATATGTCCGAGATCTCAGCGTCCATGCCGGTCCACTCTAGAAGTCTCATCGGGGACGTCTTTTTCATGCCGATCCTCCTAAGTCCTGTACTTCGTTCGATGGAGGAATGACAATACCGGAAAAGCATCAAGTTCCGGGACGGCTGCAAACAGGCGGTTGACATAAAACGGCTCTTGTTAGCGCCGCCCTCCAGAGTTAGTCACGACAGGTCAACCAATCACCTCTGGTACTTGAGATGACTTGACCTTGACCTGACGTGTGCCTTCTCCGCGACGTGCACGCCTCTGGAGGGATTTGGAGATAAGACATATGCGGGTTGGCAAATCTGTCCCTGCCTTTATATTTATGCAAGAACCACGTGATATATGATAACCAATGAAATCAATCTACATACCTTACTGTATTCTGATTGGCTGGATAACAACTATTCTTGCTTCAAGAGCTTCTAACAGTTTAGTGATTAACTTGCTTGACAAGCGTCTAAAATTCTTTTACTTATAAACAATAAACATATTTATATTAACTTCCTTAAATCCTTTAAAGATCCTGTATGCTTTGTGATTGATAATGTTACTGTGTGCCACACTTGCAAACAATTATATATGTATACAAGAAAATCATTGATGCAAAGCATCAAAGGGCGACGCCAAAAGAATTTGATCCAGATTTGCACCTAAATACTTAACAAAAGATGTGTACTTTATAGCAGTTCCATTACATGTGACCTGGAGGCTAGGGCCAGTTTAAGTTGAAACTTAAACCAAAAAAGAATAGACTCTGTCTTGCCAAGATGCAAAGACAATTTATAGTCAATTAAGCAATCTTATAAGACTCATGCTATAAGAAAGAATTTCTTCAGATTTATTTTATGAGACACAATGATTCCTGAGTCATCAGCATATAATCACAGACACGAGTATCGGACCTGGGAAGAAAAAATATGACCAGATTGATAAAAAAAACTGTGTTTATAAAAAACAAAAAAAAATGTAAATAATGATCCCCTTTAAAAATATACTATCAACTTGAAGTATATTTTTAAAGGGGGTCATTATTTACATTTTATTTTGGTTGTTGACACTTTTAAGATGAACACAGGTTTTTTATCAATCTGGCCATATTTTTTCTTCCAAGGTCTGATGCATTATAATAAAAGCTTACTGCTTAGGGTTGAAGACATGTAATTGACATATATAAGACATAAAAGAGGACCTAAAATGAACATCAGGGGGACAGCATAGGTACTCAGAGCAGTAGTAGAATGAGTACCAGCCACATCAACCAGCTACTATCAAAGATAATACTTAAACCATGTAAGAATGTCATTATATATGGCAGATGCTTGAAGTTTCATGAAGAAGAAGAAAAACAACTTCTTCATGTGCAGTATAGTGTGTTCAACTGTATCAAATGCCCTTTGTAGATCTAAAAGTATCATGCAATACTGCCTTTGTCCATTTCAAATAATGCAATCTGTTAAATGAATCAAACATGTGTCAATTGAAAAACCACTACTAAACCCTGACTGAAACTGCCTGACCATGACTCGAACCCATGACTTTCAGAAGACCAACTGAGCTATCCGGCCTGCTACACATTTTCTCTTTAATAATGAAACAGTTCTAAACCACAACATATTTCCCCACTATATCGATTTGTGTTCGTGAATTTCTTATGTAACAGAGCATAGGAAATTGAACTCATGCTTATATGCAGTCACAGGATGAGA